TACTATTTTTTTTTTGTAGAGATGGGGTTTTGACATATTGCCCAGGCTGGTCTCGAACTCCTGGGCTCAAGCGATCCTCCTGTCTCAGCCTCCCAAAGTGCTGGGACTCTCGGTGAGCCACTGCACCGGGGTCAGCCATCTCATTTTAAGGGAAAATTTGGTCAGTCTCATGACTTCTGATTACTCTTTGGTGTGTGTGTATATATATATGTATATATATTCATTCTGTGATCATTTTAAATTGCCCAACATAGCTATGAGAGGCTGGGGCAGGGGGATCACTTGAGGCCAGGAGTTCAAGATCAGCCTGGACACCGTAACAAGACCCCCATCTCTACAAAAAACATTTTTGAAGACATTAGCTGAGTGTGGTGGTGCACTCCTGTAGTCCCAGCTACTCGGGAGGCTGAGGTGGGAGGATCGATGGATCGATTGAGCCCAGGACGTCGAGGCTGCAGTAAGCCATGATCACAACGCTATACTCCAGCCTGGGCGACGGAGTGAGACCCTGTCTCAGACCAAAAAAAAAAAAAAGCTGCTACTTGGGTCCTTGCAGACATCCACTATGTGACTCTCACTCCACATTAATCTTCAAGAAAAGTGATCCCAGGTCCTTGCCCCACTTCCTCATCAGCCAAGACCTCCCCTACACTTGGGACACCTGGTTTTAGTTTCAGAGATACCCCAGTGAGGCTTCGGGGAGAAGGAGCTGGAAGGCAGCTGAGAAAAGTGGGCTTGGGGCCAGGTGCAGTGGTTCACGCCTGTCATCCCAGCACTTTGGGAGGCTGAGGCAGGCAGATCCCTTGAGGTTAGAAGATCGAGACCAGCCTGACCAACATGGTGAAATCCCATCTCTACTAAAAATACAGCTAAAAACAGCTACTCAGGAGGCTGAGGCAGGAGTCACTTGAACTCGGGAGGGGGAGGTTACAGTGAGCCAAGATGGTGCCATTGCACTCCAGCGTGGACAAGAGTGAAACTCTGTCTCAAAAAAACAAAGTGGGTTTGGAGTCTCTCCCAGCCTGTGTCCCAAGGGGGAAACAGGGATGAATGGGGATCACTGCAGATGCCAGGAGGGCACATGGCACAGTCCCTGGGACAGTGAGACCCTGCTTTGACAGCCGCAGCTGCACAGCCCCAAGACACTATCCTGAGTTGTTTTTGTTTTTTGAGATGGAGTCTTGCTCTGTCACCCAGGGTGGCGCAGTGGCACCATCTCGGCTCACTGCAACCTTTGCCTCCCCGGCTCAAGCAATTCTCGTGCCACAGTCTCCTGAGTAGCTGGGATTACAGGTGCCCACCACCATACCCAGGTAATTTTTGTATTTTCTTTTCTTTTCTTTCTTTTTTTTTTTTTGAGACGGAATCTCACTCTGTCGCCCAGGCTGGAGTGCAGTGGTGTGATCTCGGCTCACTGCAACCTCCGCCTCCCAGGTTCACGCTGTTC